TAAATTTAGAGAGATAGCTGATTCCGTGTCTTCCTTACTGATGGCTGATATGGTAAAGGTTTATCACACTATTATCAACGTTCATATTTTAACGAAAGGCTCACGTCAGTGGACTTGTTGCAGTTGGTCTGCATCCTTCTCCTTTTGATTACTGCGACGTTGTCACTACTACAACACACAAGACACTTCGGGGTCCTCGTGCAGCCTTGATATTCTACAGACGATTGCCCGTGGCTCCGCTCAATTCTGTTAGCCTCGTTAAAATTAAATTTCTTATTACGATTGATCTTTTAGAATGGCAACGGCGTTGATGTTTCCGTAAAAACGTCAAATATCCAATACAAGGATCTTGGTCGCAATATCTGTGAAGCTGTTTTTCCAGGCCTTCAGGGTGGGCCTCATGTCAATTCAATTGCAGCTATCGCGGTTGCTCTGAAAGAGGCATCACAACCTGCGTTTTATGATTATCAAAAATCTGTTTTGTCAAATATGCGTGTTCTCTGTAACCGATTGCAAAGTTTTGGTTACACGGTAGGCTTGAATTTTTATTTTATTCCGTCTAATTCCATCTTAAATTTTTTACTATAAGCTTGAGTCGATGCATAATTCAGGCCGCAACTCACTGAATTCTTGCTCGCTCATTGTTAGTCTAGACTAAAATGTGCCTCCTATTGTTCCAATTAGTATATAAAAAATATTGAATTGTACCAAGCTTCGTCTTTTTTTATCTTCGATTTGTTTAGATTGTCACTGGAGGAAGCGACACTCACATGTGCCTTGTTGATCTTCGGCCTATCAAGATAGAAGCTTCATGTGCAGAAGCCCTATTCGAAATGATTGGTATTGCGATAAACAAAAATACTGTGCCTGGAGATGTCAATGCCGTAAAGTATTGATTGTTTGTTCCTTTTATGATTGCCTTGTTATTTTAGGCCTGGCGGTATTCGATTAGGTTCTGCCGCTTTGACTTCTCGTGGGTTCAAGGAAGCCGATTTCGAAGAGGTAGCTTCCATCATTCACACTGGAATCCAATTAACGAAAGAAATTCATAATCTAGCTGGCTCCAGTTTGGCCTCCTTCAAAGTAAGCTCAATCCCCTAGTCACCTAAGAATATTTTCTTATATCATCGACATTCGATTGTATTCCTTCGCTATCAAGGAATGTTCATGAAATTCATCTCAAGTGTGTCGGACCTACCTGATTTTATGCTGAAGAATATGCTGATTTCGTTTGTCATGGGATATGAGATCGCCTTTATTCACTAATATTTCGCAAGATTACTTTTTACCTTCGTCGTGGTGATTGTAAATTTGACTGTCGATAACCTTATTTCTTATTGCCTCTGTCTATGTTTACGTGTAAAGTATTAAACGTGTAGAGGTGGGAAACTGCAAACATACCATAGGCCACACCATCCTGGTCCTCATATCCTTGTGTTAAACGTATAGTTTAGGAGTCCTAAGTGAGGTAGGTTAACGAAATGAAATGAAAATGTAGAGACTAATCAATTATAAACATGTGCACAGTTAATAAGGATACTTAGTTTTACGCAGTTGTGATAATTGCATAGCTGCATGCCAATTATAGTTCTATCTGCTGCTTCGGAGCAAGTGGAGTCTAGTCATTGTAAATGCAGGATCGGTTATACTGTCCTTAAAGGACTTTTCTATGCTTCCGGTGTTGGATGATCCCTTTTTCCTCACCTTGCACTGTTACCAAATTTGCCATGATTCAGCTTTGTACTGAAAACTATTAAGGTATCTTGATTTGATAAAACTAGAGTCCAGGCTCATGTGTGATGAAATTTTAGCTTGACTGATATAATACACTATACTTGTGTAAAAATCATTCTTGTTCATATTTTTTGTCTTACAAAACTTTCACCGTTAAATTTTATCTTTATTTATTTCAGAAATTGCTTCAAAAAAACAAAGAGATGAATCAACGAGTCTTAAAACTCAAGAAAGAAGTGGAAAGCTTTGCTGCTAGTTTCCCTATGCCGGGCTTCGATGATTTTTAGTTTATTAATACCGCAATCCCGTTTTATTAAATTTTTATATTTGCAACGAGATTTTTCTTAATTATACTATTCTATTAATCGCGTCTTCTTCCTACACCAGCAGATGTTTGTGTATATGCGTTTACTTATCTGATCATATTTCCAATTTATTAGCACTTGTACGAATCAGCATTTTAAAATTAATTCTCTCATTGCAACGAGCTTATTCCTTTACCTAAGCATTCGTGCTGTACTTTCTCCCTTATGTTTATTTGTTTTGTGAATCCCTCTAACTTATTTTCACATAATCCTTTAATAGGGCTCAAGGATGTATAGGTTTTCTAGACTACCAGTAAATCAGATTTATGAATTATTTTCACTCTATTGCTGATAAGACCTAGGCGAGATCAGAGCTGCAGTCCGCCCTTGATGAGAACATCTTTCGGGAAAGTAAGGCCATGTGAAGATATGAAGACCACGATGATGTGGCCCCGGTATGTTCGCTGTTTGCATTCTATTTGTAGATATAGGTTGAGCTCGTTTTCGCAATTTAGTCTTGTCAGGGTAACTTAGTAGAGCTCGCCTTGTCCGAAGTCCTCTGCCATAGCAGTTGTCGTAATTCCCAGCATCAGACCGAGGACTTGGTATATTCTCAGGCGTTTCGCCAGCATCGTAGTTGGCATCATCAGTGAGTTTTGCCATTCTCCGCACTATGCTACGAATTCGTCAGACAAATGAATTTAATTCCTTGACCGACGTTCTCTCGAAAATGGTTAAACTATCATTCCTCTTTCTGTCCTGGCTTATCTATCAACTCATTACCCTCTTATCACAACTTCTGACTAGTCTTCATTCCATTCGTAAAAGCATGTGCCCTTTTTGGCAAAGTTAGTGTGGCCTCATCACAGCTGCTATTCACCATGACCCCCTCTATCGGTTAATCCGACTGGCTTCCTATCAGAATCTCCCTCGTGGTCCCGTAAGTCCGTTTGTCTTTCTGTTTGATCTGGTTCCCTCAGTTCCATAGTGAGTTTCACTTCAGGCGCTATTTCTCAAGGTTTTACATGCACGTACTTCCCACTGAGCCGAGTGCCTAGATTCTGATTCCCATGCTTGCAGATATCAGGCAATACTGTCACGGGTCATTTCTTTGATCAAACCCGTATTACCTGAGCAACCTGTAGACGCTTATCTCTGGTCGCATGTGGCATCTCAAGTGGATTTCTAGTACATTTTGTCCATAATGACGAATTTGTTTCATGGTTTGCTTTTCTGTCGGCCTATCTCCTTGACTGCCAGGCCCCCAAGGTTGTACTAGTTTATTCGAGCAGACATTCACTGACAATTTCTTCGCTTTAGTGCCGAAAATCCTCTCCCCCTTTGCTTATCGCTATCCATTTTACTCCTGTTAACGATAGACCCCTGATTCAGGCTTCTCCTTTTTGTTGGTCTTGCTGTATTCTAGTTCTCTCCAAGTTTGCTTAAACAGAAGGCAAAGTTTTTTTTAACTCTACCTTCCTCCAATCTCCTGTTCATTAGATCTTTCTTCTCAAGGATGTCAATGGCCTCTAATCTCCCGCTTCCTTGTGCTTTTCCCGTAGTGGCCCTTATTTCTGTTGCCTTCCAATTGATGTCGTGTCCAGTCTGTGCGGTGTTTTCCGCTAATTCTGGTCTTTCGGTATCCATTTTCTTGCAGACCCTTTCATCTCCCTTGATTCGTATGCTAATTTTTCTCCCTGTCTCGCAGGCGTCGCGTGCTATGCAGTAAACTCATAAGTAATCCAATCTGTCTACCCTCTCGTGTTGTGTCGGTACACTTTTCAGATGTTGATTTTTTTTCGTGCCCACCCTAATATTCCATTTCCTTAATATTGGCCGTAGTTTTTGAGTTAGTTTACAGGAAGGTAAGCATATCCACTTTTGTGAATCCTCCGTCTACTGTTCTTCAATAGTCCCCATTCTGGCATTGGCTTTTTATGGCCCGTATGTTTCTTTCTATTACTTCTCTTAGTTAGCCGTTGCCAAGGCAAATCCTATTCAATTTGTTCAACTCGTACCAGAATTCCATACCCATTAAACGTATGCTTCGGATATTCATACTTTTTATCCATCTTTAGCCTGTAATTGCGATGTGACTGGACATTGATTATTTTCCCGGCGTAAAACTTCTTTCTGAACAATTTGTTCTTGAGCTAATCACTTTGTCATCCAGGAATGGGGACCACTCACCTACTTTTATTGTGAATTTAATTTTTTCATCAATCTGATTTATAAACTCCAGAACAACTTCCAGTTTTCTTTTCCTTGTGACCAAAGTGCGAAGTAATCGTTCATGAACCGCATGAGCACTGCTGGTTGTAGTGATGACATCTTAAGGTTCTCTTCCAATTTATTCATGTATACCTTTATCAAAAGAAGTGAAAGTTGCAATCCCATGGGAAGTCAAAATATTTGTTCATTAATGGTCCTGTTGAATGTAAAATAGGTTGTCCTTAGTCTCAAGTTGATTAAACGTGTTACCCCCCTCTTGATCAGTTGTGATTCCAGAATATCCTACTCTATCCAGGATTTCTAGCAGGGCCTTTAGCGCATTTTCTTCTAATATATTTGTATACATGGACTCTTCATCAAAACTTACCAATAAGTCTTTTATCCAGTTCGACGTTCTTGATTTTTTGACAAATTTAAATCAATATAAATGGGTTGAACTCGTCGCAACCTGGTCTTGTTAGTGCGACTTAGTCGAACCGACCTTGTCCGAAGTTCTCCGCCGTAGTAGTTATCGGACAAGGTGCGTTCTACTAAGTCCCCCTCACAAAAAGACCAAGTTGCAACAACGAGATCAACCCACTTCTATAAATCAACAAGTGACTGCTACCATACCGGAGGCCATACCATCTTTGTCTTAATATTTTACCATTTTTGGTAGCCTGTTATGTAGTTTCTTGAGTTTCAAGTGTGAATTTTGCCGATTTGTGTATTGCTTCATGCTTGTTGATTCAGCCATAGTGGCTCGCCCTCCGGTAATCCGTAGTCTGCTATCTCCTTTCTTATGATTGATTTCTTGTCCATGCATAAATTTCCCCCTTCCTATGCATATCTTCCAGCATGTTACATAAGATTCAATTGGTCTTCATAGTTGGTTCCTTTAGTTTACGATTTG